CGTGGTGCTGTGCCTTCAGCCCCAGCAAGGAATGGCACGTTGCTGCCACGAACTGCCCTTCCATGTCCTTTCCATCGCAGCTGCCGGGAAAGGGTTTGTAGTTCAGGTTCAGTGGGAGGAACCCAGAGGCTGATTTTCATGCCCCGGCCAAGATATTTTGACTCCTTTTCGAATTAAAGCAAAGGCTTGAGGATCTATAGTCTCTAGTGAAGTGGGGAAATCTCCTTTCCCAAACCCTCCCGCCCAGCGTTCTGTGGGAGACATGGGTTTGGAGATGGATGATTGCAGAGGGATGGTGCAGAGATGCAGAGCATCGTCTCTTCTGAATCCCTGCTGATCTTACTGTCTGTGCAGGGGTGTAAAATGGTCAGAAGGCGCCGGTTTCCAAACTGCAAGCAAAGGGGAGATGAGAAAGGCTGGAGAGAGCCATGAGGTCCGGCCATAGGCCCTCCCAAGGGGCTGACAGCAGCCGTGGTGAGAGCTGAAGGTGATGGAGAACCACTTGCACGCATCCTTCCTGCTGCTTTTTATTCTCTCGTCAAATGAAAGATGGTTGGTGTTTGAGTAAGGAATTAAGGACAGTAAAGAAAAGCTTGTCGGGCTAAAACAATAGTTTAGGGGCTTTTTTTTTAAGCAGCTCCTTTCAGTAGCCCGACTCAGGCTGCGGTCAGCAGAGTGCTCCGTGCTCAGAAGAGGAGGGGATGGCTTCTGCTCTTCAGTCATCTCAGGCAAGACATGCACATGCTCGATGTGTGTTTTGCCTCCCAGGCAATTAAGGTGATGACTATATTCCTCCTCCATGAAGAACCCCTTTTGAGGGAGAAATGGTACCGCTCTCACGGGAGACCTCGCTTCCCAAAGAGGATAATCAGTACTCCCAGGGGAATCCAGTTCTGAAACCGCACTCCCCAGACTGAGGCTCCCAAGCCAGCAGTGTGGTTTGGCGTTGTTATTTTTAACGAGCGCGAGTGAGACTTACGTTTACCTAAAATTATGTGCCAAATTGTAATAATGCAAATTATTACCTGAAAAAGTGCATTGCTTTGGAGGTTTAGATCCCCTTTTTTTCCCCCTTCACCTCCCTAATTGGTTTGATGTGAAGCAATTATCCACTTAATGCAATTAAAGGTAAGAATTTTCATACGATGTGTACGGCAACAATAATTACATGGGCCATAGCACAAAGAGGGACTTGAATGCAACTTTTGTCTTTGGGTCTCGCAGAATAAATACCTTCAGTATGCTAGCGAGTGTAGTAGCCACTCAGTCGCTATTGTGTAATTGAATACAACATTTAGACTAATTTAAAGAGTGTTTTGCTGCTTGTTTCTGTTTTTATACGGGCACAATGAAGAAGTAAGTGGCATGTAGGCCACTATTAGTATTTTTTTTATTTAGGGCTGTGGGAGCTTCACATCGACCTTCTCCTTTCTTCCTCTGCCCCATACTGAAACCTTCTGTTGGGACTGATTAAAAATGCTCATACATTTAACCCTTTCATTTTCTTCAAATTTGAGAGGGTTTGCTAGGGAAAAAAAATATTTATCTGAATTTTTTTTTTTTTGGCAAATCCCAGTATTTTCTTCAAGTAAATATCTCTTTTGACAAAGAAACTGTTTCCAGTTTTTAAAAGTCACAAGATGTTAACAAGTTGAGCCTTGTTTTTTCATAATTAAATACAACCATACAGAGTATGTATTTCTGAAGTATGAAGGTGTGGCAAAATATCCTGTGATTTACACTCAAATTAAGAACAAAATAGCCTTCAGGCATAACATCATAAAATTCCTATTTGCAAGCTCTGAGGACACATCCCAGAGAGCTGTGGAAATAAATATGTGTACATAAACACTGTCAGCTGTGGCTAGGTGATGAAAGCTCTAATATGACAAACTAGATTAAAAAAAATAACCTCAAGAGGTTCAGGAAGGAGAACTCATCAATGCCAAATTAAGATACGCTCAAATATGTCTTGAAAGATAGAACCTCATTATCCTACTGATTTATGGAGCAAAGTAATGACTATAGACAGCATTGTCTAAAGACAACAATGAGCACTGCTATATCTCGGTAATAATTAGAGTCACATGAAATCTTCAATTTTTTTTGATTGTTCTCAGATGATTTGCAATACAGGAGAGAAATGCATTACCCATGGCAATCTAAAAGGTAATGAAAATATGGTGCCCAAGTTGCTCCCATATTTAAAATTCTGATTGCAATGCTTCCCACCAACAAAATAATAGTAATTTCTGGCAGGAATTGTAAAACCTGAACTACAGCACAACGTGTCGTTCACCAAATTACTCATTCCATATCCACAATTACAGCCCATTTGTTTTCTTGTGCTGATAACAAAAGATACATTTTAAGATCTGTGCTGTGCTACTCTTCCTTTAATAAATAAAATGAGCTTTTCAAAAGCTACGGAGTGATACGGATAAAAATCAAAACATTTCTACATTTAAAGATTCAATCAAAGACTTGCCAGGAATGGTGTGATATTAAAGTTTAAAGAAATAATCAATTTACTGTGTATTTTTGAACATGATTTGTCACAAATAACATTCCCAATAGATAAGAATGATTATATGGTAAAGAGCATAATTTATATATCTCAAGCACTATGCTTTTGTCAGTGACATCGTTAAGGAATTTGACACGTTTGCAGGAGAACAATATATGTCAACTGAAATATATACCAATTAGCCATAAATGGGACACTGAAATGAATGATGCATGTGCATGCTATACTTACAAGTAATAACATGTGGTTTAAAGTCGCTTGCGTTTTCAAACAAGAATTCTTTTTATGTTGTCATTTAAAAAATCTAATATTTCAAAAGGTCAGGAATAAATAGCACCATTAGCATTAAAAGCTAGCTAAAGGGAAAGTAATTTGTTGTTCATTTAACATTGCATTTTATGTAATAGCTTTGTAAAGTGTTTGGGGGGGGGAGGGAGGAGAGATTTTACTCTGCTAAAACAAGATGACGGCAGCTCCAGTTCATTATTAAAAGGAGATTTTTTTTTTTATTATTATGCTATTGTCAACTTTAACGTCTTGATCCTGTTAGGTGTTTGTTAAAATTACACGGGCTGCTGAAGTGGCTACGGCAAAGGATAATGCAGAGAATATCATGACTGTCAAAACAATTGTGTAGGCAAGAATCTGCTTATACTAAGGTAAAGGAACAAAAGACAAAGGAGAAACTCTTCTGCGGTGTTAGGAAGTTAATAGCCCTGGTGAGGTTTCCTCGGCGGGAGGTACCGAGATCAGGAAGCCAAATCCTAGAAGGGACAAATAGTGCAGAAGGAAGCAGGCGACGTCAAGTGAACGCGGGGCACGGAAACCCAACGTCGGGTGCCGACTCCAGAGTCTGTGGCTGTGTGTGCTCTGGGCAAACCTGTAACTATTTATCTCCCTGGAGAGAGGATGTGTGTTCCTCCTTGGACTGGATAACAGGAATGAAGTATGAAGGTATCGAGAGTCCTGCACCTGGATCCTCTTCCTCTGTGCAGCTGCAGGGCGCAGAGAGGGGCGTTGCAGGAGCAACCCAAACCTGGACTTACTGCAGCCTGCTGCGGGACAAACAATTCACATCCTTGAGCTTATTAGGCCTTATTATGCTACCATTGTAAGGTTGACCGTGGGTGGAAAAAACTGGAGCCAAAGAAGGGTTAGCCTCTACCTCTCACAGCAGGGTAGGCTGAGAGGACACCAAGCAAACTGCTCTGCTCTGCGCTTGCTGCTGCCATGAGGAGCTGCACAGGGAGGGAAGCAATTGAATGAAGGGAAGACATGTGTAATAGCATCAGGGTGAAAACCATTTGTCTTTCCTTCTTGAGAGAAGCTGCATAATGCATTGGTTTAGCATTTTAATATACCACACATCTGTGACAGCATAGCAAGGTGCATAGAATCATAGAATGGTTTGGGTTGGAAGGGACCTTAAAGATCATCTAGTTCCAACCCCCCTGCCATGGGCAGGGACACCTTGCACTAGACCAGGTTGCTCAAAGCCACATCCAGCATCCTCTTCACTAATTCATCCATTTACTGCCTTTTAATCTGGGCAAGAATCACAATTGCAGTTTAGGTAGATGTCCAGCCCCCAGCAGTTCTGTGGGGTTTTTGGGGAGGACGGGGTTCTCCTCTGGGAGCAGAGAAGCAGCAGCCCCCTTCTCCAGCAGCAGGCTGAGGGAGCCGAGATAGGATCGCACAGGGACAAAAGGAATTTGTGAACTACCCAGGCTGCAGCTGAATGTGTTCATCAGAAAGCAACTCTCTCATTGCATTACCTGGTTTGGCCACCCCACCTGTCAGTTTTGTTCAATGCTGAGACCAGCATATGAGATTTCAGGACATTTTGGTGATTGTTCTGATTATAATCCTTTTAGTAAAAACTTCACTAAAAAAAAATGAAATTTGAAATCTGCTATGCAGCTTTCTCAAATTAGTTCTGCCCAGATCACATGGTACAAGCTCAGTTCATCATTAACACACCAAAATGCAGTACTAGCTCTCCATCATGTTCTCTGTTCCATCTCTTACAGGTAATCAAAACTAAACTTCTGTCCTCATTTTGTAAACACTTGCTGTATCTCTGTTTCATTTTTATCTCAGACTAATTCTGGGTTTAGCCTTCAGTTTGATGAAGAACATCAGCTTCTTTAATCCTCTCCTCACCTTCTACTCAGAAGCAGACCTGTTTTCTCTTGGTACTGCCCAGGAGCCACTATCCAGATTCTGTTACCTGCCCCCTTTCCTCCTCCTGTCTGAAATTATTCTGAAAGACTGCTGAAATCAGGGGATTTCACTTCTAAAATTTCTGTCTATAATAGAGAGGTATCCACAGACTTAACCCACCCCACAAAAAAACCAGCAAAAACACCCAACACACATCAACAGTATCGTGAGAGCAGTGACCGCAGGCTGCGGTGTTTTACGCATGACTAGCTTTTATTGGTAGCAAGGATTTGGGCATCCACATGTGCTGTTAGCAGGCAGTAAGAGTTTGCAGAACATCCTCCCTCACTGTCTCGGAACCACAGAAATGGAATCTGAAGAAAAAAAAATCATACACACAGCTGAGTTGTCAACATTTGTTGAGATTATACAAGTGGATTTTTTTTTTTTTTAATATAAGTCAATCTATTTTGTCATTTGACACAACTGAACACAACATACTTTGAGCTCCTAAGTTTGAAATATTACTGCTGGGGAAAGGATTGATGAACTGCGTTCATTCTGGTTCACTGCCTACCTTCCTTTTACTTTCACAGTTTCTTTTTTTCCAGACTTCGTGCTGCCATCACTATGTAGATGGTCACAACTACGTGTGCAGTGGGCGTCATGTTCTATTGACAGGAGTCAATAGAAGAGTGAGTGCCTATCTACAGAAATCCACTTCATCAGCAACGTGCTTTGGTGAAGAGTAACTATGACTGGACTCAGGATGCCTGTTTAAAGGTAGTGTTGCGGGGCTGTAATCATTTTGCTTTGCTTGAAACTGTTTCCATCTCCCATGTTGTCTGTTCAGTGATGGCATTTTAACTGCAAATTCCTATATGGGTCTAAAATATGTCCTGTACCTCCTTTTCTAGATATCCCACCATGGGGTGGATAAAATAACATATCTAAAAAGTCTAAGAAAATGAGTAAAACTGGACCAGTAATTCATGTTGCTACAATCTCATCATGCAAGTCATATTCCATGAAGTCTAGAGAAGTTAGTTTTAGTCTGTTTACCTCAACTTTAGATTTCATAGAATCACAGAATGGTTTGGGTTGGAAGGGACCGTAAAGCCCATCTAGTTCCAACCCCCCTGCCATGGGCAGGGACACCTTCCACTAGACCAGGTTGCTCCAAGCCTCATCCAGCCTGGCCTTGAACACTCCCAGGGATGGAGCATCCACAGCTTCTCTGGGCAACCTGTTCCAGTGCTTCACCACCCTCTCCATGAGGAACTTCATCCTGATATCTAATCTAAACCTCCCTGTTTTCAATTTAAACCCGTTACCCCTTGTCCTGTCACTACAGGCCCTTGTAAAAAGTCCCTCGCAGCTTCCTTGTAGCCCCTTCAGGTACTGGAGTTTAGTTTTAGTTTTAGTTTTATAAGCGCAGCTTCCAAGTATTAGTCTTGCTTATTGGAAGGGTGGGTTAATTATCATCATTCTGTCATCAGTCATGATCCCAGGGGCTATCAGTATCAATGGAACACTTCCACTGGTTCTAGCTGACAGTGAATCAGACTTCGTAATGCAAGCTCAGACACAGACAACAAATTCTAGTGGACATTGAGTAGGTACTTGGCAAGAATGATGCTGATAATCCAAGCCAGTGCTAATTTTTCTCACCCAGAGGGTTATACAGGAAATTTGCTCCTCTGAAGCATGGAAATATTTTGAGTTTTCTTTGAAGCTAATTGAGGCAAAGGGTTAAAATGGTAGTGAACTGAACTATGGATGAAGAGCATCTTGAAAGGAAGGAAATAAAAGGTTTTCTTGAGAGTCTTTGAATTCTTTAAATAGCTTTTCTTGTGAAAATGCTTTCAACCCACATATAATATTGTCATCTATCTTCCCAAGTAACTTTCAAGATTTTCAATATGCATATACTTACTCCGTTCCGTTTTCTCCAGCTTGGACTGTGATAGTTGCAGCTCCTAGTTTAGGAAAAGTTGGATTTAACCTGTTGTTGTTCCAAAGAAATTTAACCTTCGTAACTGTTCCAATATTAACTTCTGCATCGATGAAGCTTGTGTAAGTGTTGTCTGGTTGGAGGGTTCCCCTGTGAAAAATAACATTTTATGGATGTGAGGCTTGCTAGCATTTATTAATGACCAGTCCCGTCAACTGATTAGCTGTGTTTGCGAGTAGAAAATTAGAAGGAAGACAATATTCAGCTTATAATATGGTAACAATGTTATTTCCATTTTTCCCATGTAATCCATCCCAAATCGGTGTTTGACAGAGGAAGGGAAGGCAGGTAGGTCGTTGTGCTGTAGTCATTCCTCATAATGAAAGGGACAGTTACAGGACAATCCCCGTGGAGAAGGTAGAGGTTGATGCGTGTTGGTTATGTAGGCAGGTTTGCTGGGGAAAAGTGTTCACTCCCAGGAATTGAATTGACACAGGATCTGCAAATAGGAGCTGGAGAGTGCCGGAGCGCACTCCGTACTGGCAGACTGACCTCAGGTGAATGCCTGCACACTGGGTCCAGCTCACAGCAAACACCTACTGCCATGTGGTCTTTCTTGGAAAAGTGCAAGTGACATAGCTGTCAATAAACAAAACACGGCACCAAAAAAACCCCAACCAAACCCACATCAACGTGCCTTCTCCCTGGTTTTTCATTATTTCAGATATTGTAGCGGAAACAAACAAGCAAAATGCAAATAAACAACCCCACATGAGGCAAGCCAGCAGCTTCAGTCTAAACAGGCAAAGTTATGAGCAACAAAAAGTAGATTTTCATATAGTAAACCATGAGGTGACTTTAGATGTAAGCAGCTGTGGCAGCACCATTTTACAAGCCTGTGAAAGACAGGAAGATCAGGACTGTAGTTATGTAGGCCCAGCCAGACCTTAGTGGGACAGCAAACCAGCAACACCAAATTCTAGCATTTTACAATCCTGCGTTCTAACCTTCTCCCTTCAAATATAAACCCAGAGTGAATGAACTGTTGCTGCATTTACATCAGGGTTAGAATCTGATCTCTAAATAAGACCAGTTTAAAGACAAAAATTAATTAAAAATATGGATTATACATGCTAGAAGAGAAGTTTATTTTCTATTGAACTTACTTGATGATCTGATGCTGCCTTGTGTTCCCACCACTTCCATACAGGGCAATATTTACGTATCCTTTTACTTTACTCTTTCCAGAGAGGGTCATGGTTACTTTGTACCTCCAAACTACACAGAGGAAATACAGTCAGTTAGATTGTACCCAGGGAGAAACAGTCTCCAAAATATCAAGTTCTGGGTTGGGTTTTGGTTTTTTTTTTTTTGGTCTGTACACTGTAGTTGAAAGTAAAAGAAAATTATCGCTGCCCTTGCCTTCAGCTCCAGGCTAGATTACAGCCTGTCTGGACTCAAAGGGGTCTCACACACAAATCTTGATGGTCCTTATTCTTCCTGGGGTTATAACCATGCAAAACAAATACAAACCACCAGTGAGTCAGGTCTGTCATTAAGTCCTAATGGGATCAACGTGACAAATGGGTAGATGTTTGTGTTATTTTCTGGGAGGGAGAAAAAAAAGCTAGTCCATAACAGGGTAAACACAATATAGACCTCAGCATTTTGACCACGGAGGTTTTCATATACGGTGACATTGGAAAACAGGAGGTGTTAAGGATAAATACTGATACGTACCAGAACATAAGTAGTGTAGGAGGGTAAAAAATTCTGAAGCTCAAGGAAAATTTTTTTTGTGTGTGGGAATTTTCTTGTAGCACACAATTAGCAAAAGCAGCCATTCTGCCTCTGATTCTTGTTTACAAAGGCAAAGAAAAAAACATCTTGGAGAGCTGACATTTAGGATAACTTAGGTTGTAAAGGAGATCATCTGGTCCATCTACTTCTCAAAGCAAGGCCAGCCATGATCGGCTTGCTCTTGGCCTTTGTCAAATGGAGTTTTGAACATCTCCAAAGCTGGAGTTTTCCTAGCCTCTCTGGGTCAATTTTCCTGCATTTAACCACTGTTCCTGTGACAATAATTTTCATACTATTTGATAAGAAATTCCCTTGCTGCAACTTCTCTTCATCACCTATCCTCCTTTCTCCCTGCACCTTGTAGTGCAGTCCACTAAGGATCTCAGTGACCTCCACTACACTCTATAGGTTGTCAACATGTTCCTTGTACTGGAGGGACCAAAACTGGGCACTAGTACTGGAGAAAAGAGGAAAAGGCGTGAAGAACTGAGGAGCCATTGCACTGCTATGAGGTCTGTTCATCTGTTAAAATTATTTGTAAACCAGGAAAATAAAACCATTTGTTTGCAAGGGGTAGGTAGCAGCGGAAGCAATTGAAACTCACGAGCAAAATCCTTGGCCTCTCCGGTGTTCAGGTAAAGTTTCAGGAAATCATTCTTATATTTCCCTTTGAATTTATCTGCAAAGTGACCCATATTTGGGCATCCCCCTTGCGGGCATGGGAAACAGGTTTCCTAGTGAAAACAAATATATCTATTATTAAAATTATTCAGCCAGCCAAGAAAAATTAGATTTGTCATAGAACTTATTTTTAACATACCCACTAACTGGCCCTTATCACAGCAACAATAAATTTCCAGTAACTCTCTCTGGAACCCTATCTCAACCCAGGCTTGAGAAAGATCACATAAACTAGCCAACTTTCTCAAGTCTCTGATTTTTCAGGGCTCTGTGTTATTTCTTGTGCCATTTATCTCAATCCTGCCCCATCAGTGACATCCTTGAGTCATCTGAACTGGAGCAGGGAGGAGGACGTGTCCTTGTCAGCAACTGATGAGGAAGAATGATGTCACCTTATACCTTCAGGTTTGGTCAAGGAAGATTTTTGTCTTGAAAAAAAACCCTCGTTTTTGTCATGAAAACAGCTTTCTACTATGGTGACGGTAGCAGTAGGTCAATCTAAGCACTATGGAAGTTTACACCTCTCTGTGCTGCCTGAACAAGATGATGATCCCATTTCTTCCCTGATACTCTTCCACTGTAGTTCCTTATCTCTCAGTCTGGGACAGGGAAGGGCTTCCTGACCTTGGTCCATAAACCATTGTGCTTTGGCCCTGAGATCATGTTAAGTCAACAAAGTACTTCGATCATGGACTCACCACATCAGGTCATCACGTATTATTTTACTTCTTGCTAGTTTGAAAAGAAGACATTTAAGCTGTGTTTGAAAACTCACTTGCTACAGTATGGGACCCCACTCGCCGTTTGGTAAATACATTTGGTGATTAGAGGGACAGGCTCTCCTCCTTGTGTCTTCCCCGGATTTGGTGCCGTAGAGCAGGCCTGGGGAAGCCAGACTAGCTCCAGTAGTACCTCAGGGCTGTCACATCAGCACAGAACCAGGGATGTCCCTGCATTGTTGTTGCCTTTTCCCACTTTGACCCGTGTCAGCTGCACTCACGATAATACTTTTAGGATGTCTGACACTTCTCTTACAAATGGACTCGTGGGGTGCAAGCTGGCATAAATAAACTGGATCTCAGATGTATAGATAAGAGCCCTTGGTTTTGATATGGTCTGTACTGAAGCTCTAAGTAATACTTACTGTTTCAAAAACATCATATGAAGCACAAGAATAGCCTAGAAATCCATCAGGGTAGATAATACTGTCGGAGTAATACTTGTAACTCCGCAGATGATTGCAAGCCACAAAGTCACGAGTTCCTGTGAAAAGAGGCTCCCAGGTTAGTTCTTCCTTTCTGTTACCGTTTGAGGAGAGATACTGGCACAGCCACCGCCATGTCATTGGGATGCATCATTCCTCCTCCAAAGCATCATCGCGATTCTTGAGGTATCAAAAACAAGGTTTGAAGCTTGCTTTTGCAATGAATTGATGCTCTGAGGAATGTCACTGACTCAACAGGTATAAAATGCAAACTTGGAACGGGTTGTGGAGACCGACTGTGCAGCTCAGCTCAGCCCCTGCACTCTCCCCCCTCACAAACACTTATTCCAGCAATCTGACTGAGTTCCACAATGGAAATGAGAACTGCGTGAAGCAGATCTTTTGTAGGCAACAGTCGCATTATCATTACAAAAGAAAACCAAATAGAAAGTATTTAACAGTGAACTTCCTAGGGCAATGCTGATTTGCTCCAGCTGAGGACTTCGAAACAGAATTATTATTATTTGGAGGGTGCTTAAGGAAAGGAGACTCCTAAAATTAAAATAATGAATATATTATTTTCCTTTGTGTTACCTCTATTTTCCTGACTTCAGGTTAAAAAGAAGATCATATACAACACAGTTACTTCTTTGTGCTTTAATTCCCTATTATTGATAACAAGTTTACTCTATCAAAAAAAAAAAAAAAAAGGAAAGAAAAAGTAATGCCTCCATCTGCATTGAATAAAACCTGGAGAAAAAGGCTAGTTATCACAAATAAGTTCATGGATTCCCAGAGTTTAAGGTGTTTGCAATAATGTAAGAAAGAGTTCGGATAATATACTGAAAAATCTGTACAGCAGAAATCCTGTTTTTTGGGTTATTTTTAATGCTACATGTAATTTTACTCTACAAAGACTCATGGAAGTTTTCTAATTCTTAGAGCTTTTATTAGACCTGTGTAAAATAACAAAGAACAGTGCATTTGAGACGCTACATGCCAATCTTTTTATAGCTGACTAAAAATAGACACAATGACATTGCTTTAGTGCAACCAAGATTGTAATAGGTAATTAAAAACAATGCTAAATTAATTGCTGTCGCTCAGAAGAACTGCAGCTGAAGATACCTTAACAGAAGTAGCTGTGAGCATCGCTGCCCTACTCCACCCCGTACTGCTGCTGGGCAACTGAATAGAAATTAAGGAAATGCGTTGTTACAGACCCTCCAAAATTTTTGGCACACTTTCAGTAACTTTTTTTCCTGCTATTAGATACATTAGAGGAGGCATATTTTCCAGAGGCCAACCCTTTGTCTTGTTTATTTTTGACTAATCTCTGAAAAACGATGGGTTTTGAGCATATGAGCAGTTTTGCTGCACTCTGCAGGTGCCGTCGCTGATGGGCACACCAAAAGCTAATGCAAAACACCTGAGTTAAGGAAAGTTAAGTCATTAAGTGAGGGGTCACCTTCCCCTGAATCTGTAATGTAATCAACATGCTTACCTTCCCAGATGCCATCGAGGTCTACAATCTGTGAAATGGGGTTCTTCCCACACCCTGGCATTTGCTTTCCTCCATTTGGATAGAAGTCAAGATGTCCTATAGCTGTGCTCATCCCAAAACCTGGAGCGTTTAAAGCAGGGGTAAGCATATTTTAAATTAATATTGTCTCGTACCTATAGCTGTTGGCTTAAAGTTTGTACTTGGTGTCGTAGGATACGAGCTGTTGGTGACCAGTATGGTGTATTTGTTCTGCATCTATGCGCCACCCAGCACAACTGAGTCTTTGTGGATGATTAGGATGTGCCCCAGGACATAAATAATTTGGTATTTATGCAGTAGAGCTGAATACTCGCCTAAGTAGGGGATTGTGGGAGCTGAATCTGTGTGGATAACATCAACAAATTCTGCATCAGATTTATCCAGTCTGACTTCAATAGAAGTGCCTTGAAAATAAGGTTGGGCGGGATCAAGTCCTGAAAGAAAAAGACTAGTGTTACGTAAAGATAGAGAGATGTAGCTGTATCATTTTTACATAAGACTATGTATATAATGAATATCACACATAGGTACCTATGTTTTCTTATATCTAAGTAGTATAGGCTTTAATAAAATTGTGATGTGTGCTCTCTCTTACCAAGTGGCTTTTCTCTCAGGAAGGAGAAGGGATTACCTGTGTGAAACCTGTTAAACGTTACCAATTTACATCTCTACTGAACACCAACATTTAGATTTTCTTTTTTTTAATTGAACTTTCATTAAGTAATGTTGCTCAAACTGAGGTTGCTTTGTCTCTGTCCTGTGTAACTGATCTATCTGTAGGGTTGCTAGAGTACCTCGTTGGAGAGTACTCTAACAGGAATTGATGCTGATAGCACCCCATGTGCATGGAGATTTTGTACTTCCAAAATCCACTCAGACTTTGGAAAAACAGAGTTTTGAAGTGATGAGCTTTTCTTTTGATCCTAGCAGAAAACAGAATTAATTTGCTTCCCAAATTGTGGCAGCAATTACAGGAGCCTGTAAATTCTTGCAAATTGCACAATTTTTGCTACTTTATACTTGCTTTGCTTGTTGTCTCTGGGCAGCAGATTTGGTTTTGCTTTTAGACTGAATTTTGTAGACTATTAGTCTAAGGTTAACAAAGCCTGAAATCCCTGAGGAAAAGTAACAATTGAAAAGGGCTGTGTTAATAATATCCAAAATTGTCCTTTGTGTACAAAAGGTCACTCTGCTTAATGCACGCTGCCCTTGGCGCTGCCTGCGTGATGAATAAGGACATCAAGCCTGTTGCTTTAGGCTCTGGGCATGTTGAAAAGTTGCTAAGGAATGCAGACTGCAGCCTGAGTTACCTGTATTTTGAGAAAGGGCTGGTTTAATCACAAATTTAGCCGATAATACCTCCATTCAGTTTTGTTCTCTAGCAGAGTATTGGAGGTTTTAAAATAGCTAAAACGGTATTTGTGAGGTCTGTGGAATATCTTATTTAGAAATTAATTCATATTCCAATAAATATGTCTATTTGATTGCCATTTTTTAAGGAGCCAAACGATTTCAGAAAGATGAGGGCTCTCCCTTGAAGAACAGCGCAGGGGTACGGTGAACGGTTACGCGGTGGCTTGTTGCGCTGATGCTCCCGCTGTGGGCGGAGGGCTGAGACAGCCTGTGCTGCCACGGAGCTTCGCTCTGTCTCTCAGCCGTACGCGTTCTCATCTTGCGAAATGTTCCCTGCTCTCAGGTAGTGTGAGTAAAGAGTGATTACAAGGCAAAGGATGCTGAAAAATGAAAACTTGCTGTTGGATCAAAGTGAAGATAAAAATGCTTCTGGCCAATAGTCACAGAGGCTTGATCCGTTATATCTGGTGCTATTTATGGGATCGGTGGTGGATGCTCAGAGTGACATGTGGACAGTTATAAAACAAACCCAAGCCAAAACGCCTTCTCTGAAGGAATTGAACAGGTAACCTGGCTCAGCAGTAGTGAGAGGCTTTCTTGGAGCATGGAGTGTTTAACTTGCAGCAGGGAAGACCACAAAGTAATTCAGTGCTAGGGAGGTGAAAGCTGGATCAGTACAGCTGGCTGAAAATTAGAACAACATCATATTCCTTAAAAATGTCTAAACTCAGAAGTGTGAGAGCACTTAAGGGATGGGCTGTTACTTAAGAATATAGTGAAAATTGGGAAGGGCTCTCTGATCAATCAGCTCCGTCATTATCTGCAAAGTAATTATTCTAATGTACCCTACTAGGTGGAAAGTTTACGTAGATATAAGAAAGAAAGGTGATAATGGGCGATACTTCTGGAAGGTTAACCTACTGCTTCTGAAACATCAGGTTTAATCCATCATTTTCTGGAAAATGATGGGTGTTAGCAAAACTACAGTACAAAATAACTAACTGCTCACTGTTGTGCTGCCTCTAGTGTGCTTTGGAGGGACGTGCAAGCAGGTGGTGTGTGTCGGATGTGCTGCTATATAACAGCCAGGCTAAAGTAAGATGAAAATAGGAGAAAAGCTGCTAGGACAAGGAAGGCAGGGTCTGTTTTATTACATTACTCTTGGACAAATTGTTACAGAAAACAATCATGACAGCTAAAACCGGTTCTGGTTGTAGGTTAGTTACTGTGAGTTTGCTTTTAGCTGTGACAGCAGCATATTTTAATGCCACAGCATCGCTCCCGTTCTGCTGCATATTAGCACTGGTCTGGGCAGTGACACGGCCGGAAAGCCAGCTCTGTAGAGATTGCCACAGCCATTGATGTGCATCAGCAAGTCAGCTGATTGCAGGGGTTCCGGCTCTGTTAGCTGTATCGAGCTTTTGTTGTGTAAATATATGCCAGCAAAATAATCATCACGCTGACAGTTTTCCCACACTTACCAGGGCACCACTCCTCAGTGTGCTGTGAGAAGAGGCTACGTTCATAATGTCCAAATTATCCCTGACTAAATTACAGCCCAAGTCAGGTACAATCGTAAGAGAACGAACAGCAACATTTTGTTAAGCAGCGGTGTCTTCAGTACGAGCTGTGACTTAAATCACTGACTCACCAGTTATTCTTCCAAAAAAACTGCCGCGTGCGCTCCCAGGCTGTGGCCGATGATGTGAACGTCGGCTGGAGAGTACTCATATTTATCCTGAGAAAAACCACGGTGTGAGAAATTACTACATCTGTTTTCAGCAGCGACAAGGAAGAGTAAAAAGGGGCTGAAATACTACTTTTAATTTGACTACAGGCTCAGGAACGGATTTCAGCATCCGTTTGCCAGTGTAGATACTTATGTCCAATACGCAGAATTTTCAAAACTCCTTATTCAGGTCCTGCCCTCATTTGGAGGCTGTTAAAACTCTAGACAGCTCTGTCAACATGGTCCCGAGAGGCTCTGTATCCATTTTATATCTTAGACCTATTAATATTCCCAGGATGCTTATCTGGCTTGCAGGATTCAGCCAGGCAGTAACACCTGGCAGGTCAGGCACTGCATGCAGCTGGAGGAGGATGAGAGGAGAGATGCCTTCAGCCTTTTTGGACAGTAATTCTGTAGCTGCAATGCAGATGCAGAGCGAGACATGGGTAGGAGCGCTCCTAGACCCAGCATACCGTCTATTTAAGTAATTTACGGGTCTTTTATGGGAAATACGTGTTGGAAGCTCTTAGATTAAAAGAAGGCTTCAAACCAAGCATCACTTCCCCTGTGAATCAGGCTCAGAAAAAGGATATGTGGCACCTCATGTAGCTTTAGGCAGCAGGCACAAGGTCTTTCCCCTGCGACAGCTTCCTGGGTCCGTGTTTGTCCCCAGGTGTTGCTCAGGGAGAACAGTCATCCTCCAGCCAGAAGGTGTTTTTCTGCCACACTTCAGAGCAGCTTGGTAGGCTTTGTCTCTGTTAATTGGCAGTTTGCTGTGTCCCTTATCTCTGCGTATTTAAAACTACATGACACTACATCTGTTAATGTCTATGGAATAACTGGCTGAACTATGGGTCATCTTGTAGAACTTTATATCCCTAAGTTGGCCAACACTGCTGTTCTGACATAGCTCTCTAACTTTAAAAAACAAGGTCTGTTGTCAGCACGGCTTCTAAAATGATCACTGAGTAGAAGAAAATACTTTTCTGCTGGTTACACTCACATTCATGAAAGTTCCCAAGTCGTGTTGAACCTTTCAAGTCAGCATCATAACCATTTACCCAGAAGATCCTTACCATAAGAACCTTAATGAAATAAGCTATTTCAGCACCCACAACACGGACGTTGTTTGATGCCTGGGTGTACTGACATCTTGCGCCTTTTTTCCAGTTGATGCAGATGCAGTTCACATCTTCCACAGTAAGCATCCTCTGTTTCATAAAACAAAAGGAAAAACCAGACTCCCACAGTAAATACAATCTGGAATGGATTCATGTTGCTTATTACAGCTCAGCTCATAAATTTTCCATGAATTTGGATGAGAGTGTTTTAAGAAGCAAAACCTCAGCGTATATTTGTGGTTCTGCCCGCACACAGGCGTGTGTGTACTCGCACAATACCAAAATAGGGATGCAATATTAAATTAGGGTGGAATGCTGAAGTAATGGACACACTATCATTTCAAATACCCAGAGCAGGATTTTTTGCAGGGAAAAAATATAAATACAGATACTTTCTATTTTTCACTTCGATCAAACTTTGTGTGCAACACTAAATAAGAGCACTACTCGTATACTGATTCACTGAAGTGATTTAAAAGGACTTCTTTAATTCAAATTCAATAAGAACTTATATTTTTGATGACGAAGATCAAGTTCTTCTGCTACAGATTTGTGAGTGTGTCTCCCCATAAGAGGGTGCATAAATTGCTGCTGTCACTGAATATTCATTTCAGATTTATGGCTTTATTTGGGAATATGTATAAACAGGTAGATACTTTTTTTTTTTGTCTGCCACAGAACCTGAAGTTTTGCTTTTTTTACTCTGAGCTGGATTGTTTGGCTGAATGTATGTTACTTTAGCAGCTTTGGTATGTCTTTCTTTGCTCTATGTTCAGATGTGGCAAAGCATACAAAACAAGTTACAACTGGCAAAGGACAGAAAAGGCAATAGGTGTGTCTGTGACTATGTTAGAAGTGGTAAAAAAAAAAAATGTGTAGATAGGTTTATTACTTAATGAGGAAAGTAAATAACAGCTCCACATAGGAGGGCTGATGTATTCACAATGCCACCTGCTCCACTTCTTACTGAAAAGATTCACTGAGACCAATTTAATTTTTTTAAATAAAATGGAGTATTGTAACAAAATGTAGGACATCATATTAGAGAATTTCAAGATTTATCTCATCTCTCTAAATCCTAATGAAAATTGATCAAAAAGATTTCAAGGACTGTCTGAAGCAAAGTGTGAGCTACCTTATTGATTGTGAGGTTCTAGAGGAAAATACCTGTTTTAAGAGTGGAAATGGGAAACTGAATTATGAAATCACTAATGTGCTTCTGATACTTTGAACAAATTATTAACTGACAACTCCAAGAGTCATTCAGTAATGTTCATAAAGTGATAATTAACGTAGGTTTGGTTTTGGGTTTTTTTTGCAATGAGAAACTGTCAGATTTTAATTTTTTTGACCTAGTATCAAAGAGAAACAGGTAATGTGGACACAATAAATGTGAAATACCTTGATTTTAGTGGACTTTGACATAGTTTCTCACAATGTTCTTATAAATGAAATAGAAATATAGAATTTATACAAAATTGTAGTTGTGTGAATAGTTAGTTGAAGAGTGTCATATGCTATCCGCTGGTATTTTGCCCTGTGTGCTGTATGACTAGTAGCTTTCATTAGTTACATCTGCAAAAGAATGCCTGTTGACAGAATCTGAGAAGAGCACAAGGTGGAATTGCAACCGAGTATGGGGATACATTTTAAAAATAAGTTGAAAAATAGGAGAATTAGCACAAAAATCAATAGAGTGGAGTGCTTTACTTCACTGTTCAGAGTGGGTCCTAGATTGAGAGCTTTGTTCAAAACGGTCCCTTGAGGACCCTTCTGGCTGTACATTTCTACAGCATTATTGTTTCTGTTAATGGTCAGCCCGTGTCCTCAGCCTCCCACACCTTTGTGATGGACTTCCCATATGCAATAGCTGGGATTCTGCAGTTTCTGGAATCACCCTTGTTCCTAAGCAGTATCTTGCTCCAGGGTTCATGTTGCCTTTACCAGGAAAGAGGGCACTTATTGAGACAAATCCTGTTGTCACTCACTTCACTAAAGTGAAGAATTGGATGCATTTTACCTCATGCTTTTCATCCAGGTCCCCAGCTACATATTTAAGTGGTTAACAATTTGAAAATAAGTGGCCTTTTTTCCTCTTCTTATTGCTACAAGTACTGTGAGATAAATTGGTTAGAAATAGAGACAACAGACAATTTATAAGAATGTGTTCATAAATGCAGACTAAGGAATTCCACAGGGACAGGATTTCCCTGTGGTACATACCTTGCACATGTCTGACAGCCAATTTTCTTCTCCATTATCTATAAATCCGTGTACGATGAATCTGGTTATCCTACTTGTGTTAAAATATGAGTACTCAATTGTTGAAGCATCAACTGCAGAGATCTCCTGGTTTAGATATTAAATTAATAAACATTGAAATCTGCTTTCTGTAAATAGTTTATCAAAGTCTCAAAGACCTGAACTATGCTCATCTGTACAGGTATTTATAGGTTATGCAATGTTAAGTTCCTCCGCAAGTGTTCACATGACTATGGCTGAAGGTCTGCATCTCCATTCAAAGCAAGCCTTGACA